AGTACAATGCTAAAGGATATTTACAGGAACACGTGCATTTCTCCAAATGCCCAGGTGATGCTGAGAAGGCTGATCCCACTTTGAGAACTCTTATCCAGGGTAGAATTTGTGGTCACAGGACACTTCTCAATAAAGTCACATTATTTTCCAAAGGGATTGTGACCCAACATGGTTTACTACAGTTTTGTTAAATTCGGATTCAGTGTTCGGTGATTACAGCCACGCAAACACCTGTCACAGCTGGTCATGTCTGTCACGGTTAGTGACATGAGTGCAGGTTTGCTATCCTCTACCCGCCCAAAGGCACCTGCTGATTGGATGTCTTCTGGCTCACAGAATGTGGGGAACAGGCCAGCCAGTGTCAGCATGATGGGGGCTGAATAAAACAGATCTCTACTTTTGTCTTACACAACAACAACCAGAATGGTATAACAGGGACAAACCTCATTCGGTCTATCACAAAACATGGGTTTTGTGGTCACATTGCCTGGGGTGACACTCCAGGGCTGCCACTGTCCAACTTCTATCTCCCCAACCATAAACTGGCCTCTCAGAGATCTTATGGGACCCTCAGCACGGGGCCTACCTTGGGTGGAGAGCAGCATAGGTGCTGGACAAGCTCCTGTGTTGGTCACCCCATTTCCATTTCACGCCCTCCTAGAGGGAGGTAACAGGTGTGAACAGCCCGTTTTGCAGAGCAAGAAGACTGAGGTGAGGAGGGCACTTCTGGCATCCTCACACTGGGGCCTCTGGCTCAAAGCTCAGCAATGTAAGCCCCTGGCATGTGGATTCAGAGAGACCTGGGCTCTTTCTAAGCACCCCCTCAATGCACACAAACTCTGCATGTTGCAAACCTCCCCCCTGGGAGCTCTCAGCCCAGCGGTGGGACCTGCCCTGATGGTGCACTGTGGGCATCCAGGTGGCACTAAACCCAGCCTGGGTAGAGTGTGTTAGGAGGGCTCTGGGAGGGGTCCAACAACAATGATGCCTCAAGAAGGATCTGGTGTGAGGCAGGCACAGAAGAAAGGTGGCAACCGTCTTCCAGGGGGCCAGATGGCCTATACAGAGACCTGGCTGGGGTAGAGACAGATATGGAGCAAATGGTGGGCAGGAGAGACCAGTGGGCAGGGCCAGACCATAAGGAGAGTGGTGATCATGCTCAGAAGTTTGGGTTTTGTCCAGGAGCCAGAGGGAGCACTGGAGGGGTCTTAGGCTGAAGTGGGGAGATGAGAAACAATCTGAGGTTTAGGAAGCAAGCTCTCTGGCTGCAGCTGGTGAGGGGAGCACAGGCTGTGGCTGGAACCCGGGGTGGGGGATAGAGAAGAGGCGTAATTCCAGATTTATTTGAGAGGCAGACTCTTCCCTTACGCCCCCTCTCCCCGCCACCTCTTCTCAGTCCCACCCCATGCCTCCCCTCTCCTACCTCTTCTCAGCTCCCCCTGCCCCCCACCTCCCTCCTATCTCCCTTCAAGTCTTTCCTGTTCTCAAAGATATTTTTTAAAATCAGTTTTAATGAGATCATTTGCATACCATAAAATTCACCTTTTAAAGTATACTGTTCAACCATTGCCTAATTCCAGAATATATTCATCTCTTTAAAAGAATCCTTGAATCTCTTAAGCACTCTCCCTGTCTCCTCCCAGCCCCTGACAACCGCAAATTGACCTTCTGACTCTACTAGTTTGCCTATTCCAGATATTTCATCCAAATGGGCTATACCGTTCAACTTGGGCTGCTATAACAAAGTACTGTATACCACAGACTTCAAAGCTCAAACAGACATTTATTTTCTCACTGTTCTGGCAGCTGGAAGTCTAGGATCAGGGTGCTAAACAGTGGGTTTCTAGCGAGGGCTCTTCCTGGCTTGCAGACAGCCACCTGCTCACTGTGTCCTGCCAAAGTGGGAGAGAAAGGGTAGAGAGAGAGGGAGAGGAGGAGGAGATGGGAGGGAGAGAGAGAGGGAGAACACTCAAGGGCAAGAGAAATAGGGAGAGAGAAAAAGGAAGGAAGGGAGAGAGAGGGAGGGAGAAAGAGGAAGAGAGAGAGAGGGAGGGAGGGAAGTAGAGTGTGTGAGGGAGGGACGGAGGCGGGGAGGGAGGGAAGGATAGAGCATGTGCAAAGGAGGAAGGAGGGACAAGTAGTTTAGGGTTTTTTCTCACACCCACATTAACCCTATCAGATCAGGGTCCCACCCTTATAACTTCATTAACCTTAATTCCTTTTTCTTGTTCTTTTTAAATTTCAGATTATCATGAGGGTACAAACCATTAGTTCATATAATTCACACATGACAGGTAAAAATCAGAGTTGTAGTTGTGTCCGGCGCCCAGGGAGTGTGCCATATATCCGTGCATTGTACCCACCCCCTTTTCTTGAATTTAGTTGAGATTTTTCTCTCATATGGGTCTGTGACTGTTTTTTTAACAGAATTAAAGCAAATGGGTCTTTGACTGTTAATCTCCTAGTTTTGATTTGGTCCTGAGTACAAGATTGTTTATCCAATCCTGTGGAATGTTCCCCAAATCTATCCAGGTTGTTACAAAAGATGCAAAATTTCCATTTATTTTTAGGGATGAATAGTTTTCCATGGTACACATGTACCACAGTTTATTAATCCATTCACATGCTGCTTCCACATCTTCTAGTGCAAATAGTCCTGTGGGAAAAGTCTTTCTGTCGTATGTTAAGTGCCAAGTAGGGTCAAATGGTAGGTCTACTTTTAGCTCTTTAAGGACTCTCCATACTTCTTCCATAGACGCTATTCTAGTTCACATTCCCACCAACAGTGTATAAATGTTCCCTTCTCTCCCCACTCAAGCCAGCATGTGCTGGTCTGGGACTTTGTGATGGGGGCTGTTCTCACTGGGGTTAGGTGACGTCTCAAAGTGGATTTTATAATTAGGGATGATGAGCTTTTTTCATGTAATTATCAGCCTCCTTCTGTCCTTGTGAGAAAAGTTTCTATTCATGTCTCTTGCGCAATTTTTAAGGAGTTCTCTGCAGATTCTGATGATCAGCTTTTTGTGGGATTCCTAGAATGCAAATATCTTCTCCCATTCTGAAGGCAGTCTCTTTGCTTTATGGATCTAACCTTAATTATTTCCTTAAAGGCCCTGTCTCCAAAGACAGTCACATTGGGGGTAGGACTGCACGTGTGGATTTAGGGACACAGGATCAGTCCACGGCTGTCCTCATGTGAGGATGCTCATCCGAGCCGGGAAGGGACCAGAACATTTCCAATTAGGCTGGCACGGGGCAGAGTGTCCTCCAGGAATCAGCTTACGGGTCCTGACGTCGTGTTTGTACCCAAGCCCTGCCAGGACAGTCGCATGGGCGCGGGTCCTAGGCATTCAAAAGTATACACAAAGCGGAAGACAGCCGGAAAAAACAGCTCTGAACCGCCGGGCGCCGAGAGTCGCCCCAGCCGCCGACAAGAGCAGCAACCCTCGGGGCTCAACACACAGCACGTGGCGGACAGGCGCGGGGAGCACAATGCGCAGGCGCAGACCCGGAACCCCGCCCCTCAGGAACGAGCGCTCTCGGCGCCTGCGCTGTAGCTAGGGGTCGGCAGGCGCGCGCCGCGGGGGCGGGGCCGCACGGAGGCCGGAAAGAAGCGAAGGTGAAGGCGGGGCGAGCGAGGGAAGCCCGCCGGCTACGGGACGACCGTCGCGGCCTGATGACGTCGCACAATGGCCGGCCCCCGCGGGTAGTGGAGCCCGTTTGTTCCGCTCGCGTCGCGCCTGGAGCCAGAGCCCGTGAGAAGCGGAAGGGCCGAAGGACGTCTTCTCCGCGCTGCCCCAACCCCAGCGGAGCCGTGGCCTCCTCTCCGCCCTTGCGCTGAGGTAAGCGGGGCTGGGCCGGCAGTGGGAGGCCGGGCGGGCGGCGGCGGGTGGAGAAGGCCGCCTCGGCGGCGGCGGGAGCGAGGCCCGGGAGCCCGGCGCGCCTCTGGCCGTGCGCAGCCGCGGGCCGAAGCGTGGCTCCCGGGCCCGGGCTGAGAGACGCCTAGAGAGGCACGGCCCCGCGGGCTCTGGAGCGCCCTAGGCGAGCTCCTCGCGCCGGCGGCGGAGTTTATTTTCCTGAAGCTGTCATTTCTCTTCCGGGCCACTCGTGTGGCACATGTTCGCCGCCTGCAAAGGGGGGGTGAGAGGCTCTCAGGTTCGCCTCCGGAGTAGAACAGCCCCGACTGTTGACGAGTTCTTCGAGGAACTTTGAGCTCTTTGGAGCCTCCTAGGAGTTACTCCCACGGCTTCAAAGTGTGCACAGGTTGGTCGTACTGACATGCGCCAGTCTCTTAGGAGAGTGTAACTTCCTTGCACTCTTTGATTGGAAGCTCATAGGGTTCCGGGTACTTGATGTAAGCTAACTACAGCTGTTATGCAGGAAGAACCTGAGACTTGAAGACTTAAAATAATTGCTCCTGGTAAAAATTAAGTTTTCCTGAATAGTGGGTTGCTAGGCAAAATGGTTGATTGCTTTAAATGAGCTTTGTTTAGCAAACTTATTCGCAAGAGTAGGTTGTTTTCGGCTCCGCGCCTGTAGCTCAGCGACTGGGGCGCCGGCCACACCAGGGCTGGTGAGTTCGAACCCGGCCCGGGGCCTGCCAAACAATAATGACAACTGCAACAACAGCAGCATAAAAATAGCCGGGTATTGTGGCGAGTGCCTGTAGTCCCAGGTATTTGGGAGGCTGAGGCAAGAGAAGCTCTTAAGCCCAAGAGTTTGAGGTTGCTGTGAGCTGTGAGCTATGGCACTCTACTGAGGGCGACATAGTGAGACTCTGTCTCAAAAAAAAAAAAAAAAAAAAAAAAGTGTAGGTTGTCTTTTAGAGTATTTGGGGTGAAAAGAAGAGGTTGTTTGGCATCTGAAGTACTGTTTGGAGTGTAGCAAGGCTCTCATCATTTCTCCTTTGAGACTTGCCTCTACCCTGTCGTCTGTGGAGTGGTCTTTTCCCAATGCAGTGGTTGGGATTCTCAGGCTGATCCTGGACAGAGACTGATTCCCACTTCCTAGCCCTGGTTGTTTTACAATTTGAGCACAGTGTGGAGACCAGCTTGCTCTGGAATCAGTCAAATGTGTTCCAAAGCCAAGAACTCCTCTCCTGTTTTAGGTAGGAAATGCTCAAATAATGTAAGAAAGCTTTGTGGAATCCCTCCAGAAAGCTAACAGGTAAGCTGTGGCCTTGCTTATTTTAAAACAAAGTTTTGTATTTTATTACAGTTACAGATCACCTGAAGGTGAGTACTTTCTTACTGAGGAGATTTTATTTATTGCATTGTCAAGTTTAGTCAGTTTGGGGGCCAGAGTTTCTTAAGTCCATGAAGTTGCAAATTAGAGTTTTAACCAGACATCAAAACTTAGACATTCAAATAGGGACTGGTCGGTTAAAAGTAATTGTCTTAAAATTTTATGCTTGTGTTTCAATGGAGTTCCTTTGCCAAAACCTCTTTAGAACTCTTGTTTGGATAATACGAGAAAATTAGTCTCATTCAATAGTTGCACCTCACATTTGACCAAAAGGTACCTTACCTGGCTTGATAACTCACCTCACCTACCAGATAAGACACTGAATGACTTGCAGCCGTTTCTCAAATGGCTCCTTGGGAGGAGGAAGATTTGCCACTACTGAGAGCATCAGAAAAGTGTTCTGCAGGCTCTGGAGGTCACGCAAAGAGAAGGTCCCAAAATACTGTGTGCTTTAGCAGTGCCACTAGAATCAGTGTGCAGCCTCCCAGAGTGACTGATGGGCAGGAGATAGCACCTGCTCTGTCTGAATTGTGGGTCATCTTTTACAAATTAAGCACTTCATTTAAATTTCTTTCTGGTATGCAACAGGTTGTTCATCAAGTAACAAGATTGTCATGTATTCAACAAGCACTTATCAAGTATTGTCTGCCAAATGCAGTAGGCAACAGAAACACTGATGAACACTTACTATTTCACTCCCTGGGCAAGTTCACCGTCTTGTGGAACAGAGGATTAAGGATTTAGCCGTGAATCTTGCTGAGAATCCTCAATTACAGGGTGATTCTGTAAGAAGAACAAACTGAGCAAAAATTGTTAACTTGGGAGTTCATTCAAGACTTGGCCAGAGGACCTTCCACCCATCTCAGTGTTTACACTTAATGGGCCACGTGTGTCCTTCTCTAGCACTCGGCATAAAATACATACTCAGATGTCTGCCGCATTGAATTAATTTCAAAACAGGACAGTGACGCCCAAAGAGAAAAGTTAACCTGGCCAGAGCAGGGCCTGGAACTCAAGCTGTCTTCTGATTCCCAGTGATGTTCCTTCTCTTCGGTACCACAAGGTGTGACTCAGGTTGCTTCTAATAACAGGTAGATTCATTGGCATGTTTTTCTCTAAAAGGTGTTCACCTGTGTAGCCTCTGATAGTTTAAAAAAAAAAAAAAATCCCAGAAGGTCCACAGGACTCCTTTCCTCAGGAAACTATTCAGGGCCTCCTGTTGGTGACTGTATGCCCTGGTGGGCTTAGGGAAGCCCACGCTCATGCTTGTTGTGTCAGATTTTTTTTATTTATTTAGAGATAGGGCCTCACTCTGTTGTCCAGGCCAGAGTGCAGTGGTGTGATGACAGCTCACTGCAGCCTTGAATTCCTGGGCTCTAGCTTTCTTCCCACTTCAGCCTCTCAAAGTACTAGTAACTGAGACTACAGGCACATGTCATCATCTCCAGCTAATTTTTAAATTTATTGTACAGACAGGATCTCACTGTGTTACCCAGGCTAGTCTCAAGTTCCTTGACTCAAGGGATCCTCCCACCATGCTAGGATTACAGGTGTGAGCCACTGCACCCAGTCTGTAATTGTTAACATGCCCCCTTTGTGTCTTAGAAATGTTCTAGTTTAGATAATAAATCATATAGTAACTGTGCTACTAAGTGCCTGCCATTTGCTGACACAAGTCTTAGTCCTCCCAAGCACTTAGGTGCTCTATGAGCAGTGAGGGGAAGGTCTCCCAGCAGACTTGGCAAACACATGGTTGCCATATAGTATGATAAGTATGGGTGCATAGTAGGATGATATATAATTACTGAATAAGAATTCTTAATGCTGAGACCATGGGTGGACCTCCAGAGGCTTAGCACTCCCTGAAGTAGAAGATGAGTTGTGCTTGTCCAGACTTTTCTAGGAAGAGAAACCTTGCCCTTCCTCGACTCTCAAGGCATCCTTGATTGCTAGAAGTTAGCACTGACATGGAGAATGACCTGCCATTCTCCCACCACCTTCTGGTGAGTGTTGCAAACTACCTAAACAGGCAGAAAAAGTTGATTTTGTAGCCTTGGAATGTTGAAGTAATTCCCCTAAGTCAAACTGCAGAGAACATGCAGGTCCAGGAAGTACTTAAAAGTGCTTTACGTGCCACAGTCCCATAACTTCTGGGGGTTCCAGTGTCACCATTTCCTGTGGTCTCAGTATAAAGGTGGTATACCTTTTGGGTTTTGTTTTTTTTACTGGATTCATATCTAGTTTAAGTGCCTAATATTTGAACTTTAGACAAGTTAAAAATTGTAAAATAAAAGACTAATGTCACCAGTTGGACCACCAGACGGTCGTCACTGTTTTTTAACTAATAATCTCTATAGGTCAGCTCAGCGGCTAAGGCGCCAGCCACATACACCAGAACTGGCAGGTTCAAATCCAACCTGGGCCTGCCAAAAACAATGACAACTACAACCAAAAAAAAAAAAAAAGCTGGGCATTGTGGCAGACACCTATAGTCCCAACTACTTGGGAGGCTGAGGCAAGAGAATTGCTTAAATCCAAGAGTTTGAGGTTACTGTGAGCTGTGATGCCACGGCACTCTACCCAGGGCGACAGCTTGAGGCTCTGTCTTAAAAATTAATAAGAAAAAAATAATCTCTGTAGGTCATACAGTAACTTGTCCATCTTTATGAAAACCTGTGTATTTGCTTATCAAGGGGCTGAGATAGTATAGATGGACCAGGACAAACTTTAAAAGGGAAAAAAAGGAAGATGGCAAAAATCTATTGGTTAATGGAAGTCCCCAATTTATGCCTGGGACGTGTTTATAAAATCAGTTTGGAGCTTGGGACCCACTATCCTGTAGAACAATGGCTAACAGTGGGGTCAGCTCCCAGTCAGGAACAGATGCCCTCTCTTCCCAGTCTGGGGAGCTGTGCTAGAGTATAAGCATGGAGAGCAGGTTTGCACTGCGGTCACGTGTAGCCTGGGGTTCATCATCTGGCGGGGGGTGGGGGGAAGCGCAACACTTACTTTGAAGGTTGACGTGACAATTCAAAATGTGGGGGACAGTGCCTCTGGCTCACTGGGTAGGGCGCCAGCCCCATATACCAAGGGTGGCAGGTTCAAACCCAGCCCTGGCCAAACTGCAAATAGCCGGGCATTGTGGTGGCACCTGTAGTCCCAGCTACTTGGAAGGCTGAGGCAAGAGAATCGCCTAAGCCCAAGAGCCACGGCACTCTACCAACGGTGACAAAATGAGACTCTTATCTCCAAAAAAAAGGAAAAAACAAACAAACAAAATGATGTGGGGATATAATTAGGTGCCTGACAGTAGCTTGTCAGCAAATGTTGGTGGCTATTGGCTATTGGTTTATTGCAGAAATCTTTTTTTTTCTTTTTTTTTGCAGTTTTGGCCAGGGCCAGGCTTGAACCCCCCGACTCCTGATATATGGGGCCGGCGCCCTACTCCTTGAGCAGGTGCCACCCCTGCAGAAATCATTTTAATAATGTAGTCTTATATTAAGTATTAGGTATTTGTTGAATGAAACAATGAATAAATTACTCCCAAGTGCTTAGGAGATTTGGACTGACCTGACAACAGTGATAGAAATGTGATGATTGTAAATTGAAGATTACATCTGCTCATCTTCATGTTAATTCAACTTAAATTAAAAGGTATCGAGCATGTTCCAGGTGAATTATCAGAGGAATCTCTTCAAGTCATTCTAACAGTCTCAGAAAGTGAATACTGTTGTCCTCATATTTCAGATGAAGAAGCTGAGGTCTGGCAAGTTCACTGAATAGTGAACCCAAGATCCCAGACCCAAGAAGCCGCAGATCTGGGGTTTAGGTTTTCATGCAGAATTCCAGACCATTTGCACCATCCTGGGCGCCATAAAGAAAACTGCACAATGGAAGGCAGCCTCCCTGCTGCTGACTGGCCCACTTCTTGCATTTGTTCAGATAATGGAAGATAGGAACTCTATTTTTTTTTTAATTTCTTTAGGATTTCATTTCAAGTTTACCAAAATACAAAAATCAGTTTGGTAGTGCCTATTATTGGTGATGAAACCAAAGTGCTTGCCAGTTTGTACCTGGCCCCCAGAAAAGGGCTTTTTCCAGGTTCTAAGTGTCTGTGCAAAGCATTGCTCAGTGCAGCATATAGTATGCTGTGAAGCCAACGGTAGTCTTGGGTGAGAGTTATCAATAGTGTGATTTTTAAGCTAGTTTGAGGGGGCATTCAGTTTTGTGTAACAGTTGGTTACAAGGTTGCTATTAGGTTGAGAATCTGAATTTGTCAGGAATACTTAGTAACCAGTTCAGCATGATGACATCCTACTTGGTACCACATACTACTTTTAGGCAGCTGGGAGATGCAAAGTCCCTGCTCTTCTCTGGGGAAATTTTTAAGATCCACAATGTAATAAAAACTGTACAAAGAGAGGTATAGGATGTTGTTAATATCATTCACTATAGGTGGGAGGGATTGCTGGTTTGTCGCTGTCCCCAACTTGCTGCTGTGACACCTCACACGCCTTCATTCTTGCTTAGTGCAGGTAAGTGTAGAGGCCTCAGCAGGGCAGCTGTCCTTGCAGCACCTTAACCTCATTTGTGCCCATGGCTGTGGGAACATTCTGTGTGTCAAGGCCCTGCAGCTGGGAGGGAGCTCAGGACCTTAGGGTAGCCTGCTCAATGTCCCACTTTCCATTTGGGGGCTAACTTTTTAGTAATTCCTTCTAGCACCTTTGGGTAGTAACTGGACAGTATAGTTAGAAGACTAACAAGTAAATTATTTTTCAAAACTATCTACTTTTTTTTTATATTCCCATTTATTATTTATTTATTTATTTTTGGGCACAGAATCTCACTATGTCACCCTTGGTAGAATGCCATGGCATCACAGTTCACAGCAACCTAAAAACTTTTGGGCTTAAGCAAGTCTCTCGCATCAGCCTCCCAAGTAGCTGGGACTACAGGTGCCCACCACAACGCCCAGGTCCCAGGTATTTTTTGTTGCAGTTGTCATCATTGTTTCTGCTGGCCTGGGCCAGGTTCAAACCCACCACCCTCAGTGAATGTTGCTGGCACTGTAACTACTATGCTACAGGTGCCAAGCCAAAAACTATCTAATTTTAATAGACAGAATGAATTGGTTTGTAAATTTATACATGTTTTTATAAAGTGATGCATTTTAAGTAATTTGTTTTAATGTATGTACAATTTTAATTTCTATTAACAGCAAAAAAGAAGTATGTTCAATTGTAGGTTCAGATGCCAACTCTTGATACTATGCATCTTTAAACAGGTCGTCCCTTTAAAAATACACATTTAAAAGATAGGTATTTTGTCTTTAATACATATAATTGCATACATTGTGTGTATATATGTAATGCGGTATACATATGTGTGACTTGCTGCTGCCTCTAAACCTAAAGTTGTCTCAGGATGAATACACTGTCTCTGAGATACCAGACAGCGTGACTGTAACATATGTTATTTGAAATAAAAAGATTGAAACAGCCTGAGAGTGAAGAAGTAAGTGAACACAGAACCATGCCCACTCGTCAGGGCTGTGCTGCCTTGCTAGAGAGTGGGAGTGTGTTCCCTGCACCACTTGGGTCAGGGTCCTGCACACTTGCTCTTACCCCACCTCTGTGATCTACTTTTAAAACAGAGGGAGCAGTGTGCTGTCTTCAGGTTTTGAGATGGGAATACTAGAAAATACTCACTTTATGATTAAATCTGGGTTAGTAGAAATAGAAACGAAATCTTCTACACAGACACTGTCTCTTACATAAGCACGCTATGTGAATGTGTAACATTTCCCATCAGTGTTCTTTTCTACAACAAATGCAGGGTTTGCCCTCTGAGCACTGCTGGCCGCACCAGCAGATGGGCTGCAGCAGGGCCTTGGAGTCTGCATTTGTAGAGGACATGCAAGGCATTCTCACAAGACAGTTGGAGGCTACACTTAGAGGAAGGGGCTCCTAACCTGGAGACTGCTAACACTGGCCTAGGTTTCTGTGTCACTGTCCTTAGGATGACTCCAGAAAAAAATGATCATGCCTGTGGCTTCTATTTTGCTACCTCATTCCATAATGCAGACTATCTTGCATTTCAAAAGTAAATACTCTTTTTTTTTTTTTTGAGACAGAATCTCACTCTGTTGCTCTGGGTAGAGTGCCCTGGTGTAATAGCTCATAACAACCTCAAACTCTTTGGCTCAAACAATCCCCTTGCCGCAGCCTCCCAAGTAGCTGAGACTACAGGCACCCACAACCCCTGGCTAGTTTTTCCCTTTTTAATAGAGATGGGGTCTTGCTCTTGCTCAGGCTGGCCTTGAACTCCTAAGCTCAGGAGATCCACCTGAGTGGATCAGTGATCCAGAGTCTGGGCTTATAGGCATAAGCCACCATGCCAGAAGTAAATATTTCTAAAAATCAAACAGACATCATTTACAACCCATTTTTTTTTTTTTTTTTGAGACAGAGCCTCAAAGCTGTCACCCTGGGTAGAGTGCCATGGCATCACAGCTCACAGCAACATCCAGCTCCTGGGCTCAAGCTATTCTGCCTCCACCTCCCAAGTAGCTGGGGCTACAGGTGCCTGCCACAACACCTGGCTGTTTTTTGGTTGCAGCCATCATTGTTGTTGGCGGGTTTGGGCTGGATTCGAACTCGCCAGCTCAGGGGTATGTGGCTGGCGCCTTAGCCTCTTGAGCCACAGGTGCCAAGCCTCCAACCCATATCTTATTGTTCACTTTCTCTTAACTTGTGTGGGCTTGTTTGGGCTGCTGCCCTTGAGAGGGGAAGAGGTACTCCAGACCACATCTCTTTCTGCCAGATTTCCAAAAGCAAGGAGGCATTTAGCACCCAGCTCAGCTAAGCAGCATCCAGCCTTGTGCAGTGGAGTTAGGGCCTGCCTTTCCCTGCAGGCCATGTGTGCAGAGTGGAAGTCTTGCTTCTCCTTTCAGCCAGGAAGACCAGGACAGGCTGACTTGCCATTTTGCTAAATGCCGTGAATCTCTGTTCTCTCTTTTGCAGAACTGTGGGTACCGATGGATGTGGCCGAGAGCCCTGAACGAGATCCTCACTCTCCAGAGGATGAAGAGCAGCCACAGGGGCTCTCGGACGATGACATTCTGAGGGATAGTGGGTCTGATCAGGACTTGGACAGAGCTGGGGGGCGGGCTTCTGATTTGGAGGATGAGGAAAATGCAGCCAGGGGGCCAAACCAGGAGGATGAGGGGAATCACTCTGATGAGGAAGACCGCATGAGCGAGCCCAAGTCCCAGGATCAGGACTCCGAGGCCAATGAGCTGAGCAGAGGCCCGACCAGCTCCCTATGTGAGGATGAGGGGGAAGAAGATCGGACAAGTGACCTCAGGGATGAGGCCTCCTCAGTCACTAGGGAGCTGGATGAGCACGAGTTAGACTACGACGAGGAAGTCCCTGAGGAGCCAGCTCCCGCTGCCCAGGAGGATGAGGCTGAGAAGGCTGGGGCTGAGGATGATGAGGACAAGGGTGAAGGTGCTCCCAGGGAGGAGGGAACCGCTGGTACCCAAAGTGTGGGAGAAAAGGAACCCCTGGAGGCTGCCAAGGAGAAAAAGAAAGAGGATGACGATGGAGAAATTGATGATGGGGAGATAGATGTGAGTATGGCCTAGCCAGACACTGGCCGGTTCCGGGTGGGGGAGGACTCTTCATGGGCTTGACTTGGTGCTTGACAAGGCGGCGGGACAGGAGAGCAGGGAAGCAGAAGGCTTTGGTGACCGCTGCCGTAGTAACCAGGAGGGGTGAGCTGGAAGGCAAGAGTGAGGACCAGGCTGCGGAGAGCTTACTCTGGCCAGCAGCAGCCAACTTCTGAGGATAGGGATGAGCTGGAAGGCAAGAGTGAGGACCAGGCTGCGGAGAGCTCACCCTGGCCAGCAGCAGCC